ATAGATTTGGAATTAGGTTTGCCTGACAGCAGCTTATTAAAATACTCCTTCTTCGACCTACGCACGAGCAGTTTGACATAATTTCGTTGCCTACAAAAGTTCTCAGAAGTTCCATAACGTTTAAGCCAGTTATAATAGATTGACGACAGAAGCCTGTGGTTGTATATAACACATTTATTTAGGGTCTAACTACAGCATGATCGTAATACCAGAGAGGACGGAAGGAAGTACCCAAGGGACATCACTCAAGATAACAATATTATAAATATAACTAATACAGAAGAGTGAGTTCCCTTGACCTCACAATTATTTCAATCTATTACATCCCTTTACCCTTAGAACACAATAACACATCTCTCAATAGAACAATTGATAGTATCCTAAAATCACCAATTATATTGTAACATGAACACTATGGTAGATTACATCCTTACAAACAATGCACAATATGCTACAACATAATCAAAATACAAAACAATAATGTCAAAGTCCTTTTGACCTTTAGAATCATAGGTCTAACTTATTTGGGACCTTGATTGTCCTGCTTGACCTTCTCAGTGGCTTTTGATTTGGTGACTCAATATTCTGACCATCTGGATTCTCTATCTCAGGAGGTCTAGGATTTAAATCATTAACTCCAGAATTTACATTTTCTGACTCCAGACAACTTGGTTCACTCATATCAACAGAACTTGGTTGTGAAACAAACTGAGTTGGTGTGAACTGTTCAGATTTGGTGGGATTGACAGATTCACACTTATTATCTGCACAAGTTATTTTTAACTGGTCTGCATGTCTACGGACAATAAGTCCATCATTTGTTTTTACTTTATAAGACACAGGTCCTGTACATTGAACAATTTGACCTGGTATCCATTTTTCCTTTCTCCCATAATTTCTTAGATACACATTATCATTAACACCAAATTCTCTTTCAATGAATGTTTGTCATGATTTAATGGAACTATTTTTGAATTGGCATCTGAAAGTATTATGCTATTTCACCTTTTTCACCAACAATTTTCAATACTTTATCAAGTGTTTTAAGATGTTCAGTGTCATTCTTACCAGTTATGTACACATTGTCAAAGTACACACAAACATTTGGAATATCCTTAAAAATACTGTCCATGACAGCTTGGAAAATTCCAGGGCTAGATGATAGTCTTTCATATTGGTACAGTCCTTTATGTGTGTTTATTGTCGTATAGACTTTTGAATCTGGATGCAGTTCTAGTTGAGTGTAAGCATGACTAAAGTCTAATTCAGTGAATTTGTCTCCTCCTGCCAAATTCAAAGAAATTTCCTCAATGTTAGGTATAGGGTACCTATTTAGCTCTATTTGCTTATTCAGTGTAGTTTTATAGTCTCCACAAATTCTTATAGAACCATCCTTCTTTAACACTGGCACAATGGGTGTCGCCCAATCGGAATAGTCTACCTTCTTTATAATGCCATTAGATTCCAATCTACTTAGCTCATTTTCAATTTTATTCCTCATTGCATAAGGTGGAACTCTAGCTTTGCAGTATCTTGGATTTGTATCTTTAATGCTTAACTTCACTGTTCTATCATTTAGTAAACCTGAATTACCAAAAACACATTTATTTTCAGATATAACTTTATCTAGTGAAGTAAGACTAGATTCTTTTACATTCTTCAATGAACAAATACTCTCCCAATTTAACTTAAGATCACTTAACCAGTTCCTACCTAGTAATGGCGGTCCATTTCCTTCAACCACAAGAAGAGGAAGTTTAACACTTTGACCATTATAACGTACATGAACCATACACTCTCCTATTACCGGAACATTGTCACCAGTGTATGTTGTTAGACACTTGTGACACGGCTGTAGAGACACTGATCCTCCTGTGACAGCGTCAAAATCTTTCTTTGTTATGACTGTTAGAGATGCTCCAGTGTCAAGTTGGAAGCTGATGCTCTTACCGTTGATATTAACTTGTACATTGATGGGAGCATGACTTATTGATTTAACAGAGAACAGGCTGAAATCCGGCTGCGAATCAGTTTGAGCATTTTCACAGGTAGAGTGGTTCATTGGTTGGGTTAGGTAGTCTTGGTGAGAGTTAACATAGTGCTGCCTTTGGTTGCGGTACTGTCTTGACTGGCTAGATTTAGCAACAGACGAAGACTTTGCAAAGCAGGCCTTAGCAATGTGACCTTGCTTACCGCACTTATAACAAGTTGCTAACTTGAACTTGCACCGATGAGATGCATGGGGACCTTTGCATCGATGACATTTTTGATAATTATTACTAGATTTAGATCTAGGATTTGAACGAGCAGGGTGTTTAGCATAAGTTGGAATGCTCTGTTGGGGTTGATGTTTATTGACTAACCTGCTGTTTACTGCATGGATCTCTGAAGGTGCTAAAGATCTCGCCGCATCTGATGACTGCTGGTATGAAGTTGCAAGTTGTATTGCTTTTTCCAATTTTAGATCTGACTCGAGCAGCAACTTTCTTTGAATATCAGGGCTGTTTACACCTGTCACAAACTTTTCACATAATCTGTCAGACAGCGTTTCTCCGAATTCACAAAATTCACTTAAATGACGTAAAGCAGCAACATATTCTGATATTGACTCGTTTGGTTGACGAGTCCTACTGTCAAATCTAGCTCTACATAAAAACTTTGATGGTACAGGCGCATGGTGGTCTGTTAGCAATTTGCTCAGCTCGTTAAAGCTCTTGGTAGTTAGACTAGCTGGTGCGCATAAGTCTTTTAGTAGCCTAAATTGTTGAGGCCCTATGACTGTTAACAAAACAGCTCTCTTTTTGGCTTCTATCGTCACGTCGTTAGCTTCTAGGTAAAAGCTTAACCTCTCTAGGTAATCTTGAATGATTTCATCATTCGCATCAAATTCTTTTATTTGGCCATACAGCGCCATAATTCTAGAAATAATTAGCTAATAAGCTCTAGCAAACCTCTTTTTTGCGTAAGTAGGTGCTCTTTCTAGTAGATGTTTATCCTTCGTCGCCAGTTATAATAGATTGACGACAGAAGCCTGTGGTTGTATATAACACATTTATTTAGGGTCTAACTACAGCATGATCGTAATACCAGAGAGGACGGAAGGAAGTACCCAAGGGACATCACTCAAGATAACAATATTATAAATATAACTAATACAGAAGAGTGAGTTCCCTTGACCTCACAATTATTTCAATCTATTACATCAGTCTCTTTTATTAATTGCAGATTCGATATTGTTGTTAAACCAAGAAGGTTTGTATGTAGTCTTAACCTTTTTAGAGATTTTAGGAATATGTTTGTCATATATAGTATAGAAAATACGCAGCCATTCAGAAATGGCTAGATGGGGACAATTATAATTGTATACATTGCAGAAGGGGGCAGCCAATAAATCCGAAAGAAAAAGATTTTCATTAAATTTTCTAAAAGAGCGATAATGTATGGTTATGTGTTGCCGCGAAGGTACACATAATCTTTTTGTCGTAAAAGTACATTAAACAGGGAAGTGGTCACTAACACCACAAGAGGGGACACACCTCTATTAGGTTGCAGTCAGGTGATGCGTAGATGTGGTCAATTATTGTACTTGATTTATCATTGACCCTGGTAGCCGTGTGTACAAATTGTTTTAGATTCAGAGAATCAACAATATCTTGCCAATATCCTTGAGGTTTTAATAAATTTATATTAATATCTCCCAATATGATATATTCATTGTTAGTAGATAAAACGGTATCTATCATAGAGCAAAAACGATCATACCACCAATCCATGTTTTCGCAGGGATTTCTATAAAGGAAGCAAATTAAAATTGCCGGATGGTGTTTGCTTTTTTCCAGTTCAATCCATATACATTCTATATATAAAAAAACAAAACAAAGAAATAAATTAAATGTCGAGAATGACATGAGGTTGGCGTTAAACAACTCAACCGCGCATGTTGAGGCTATTTTTCCCACGTTTTCTTTAACTTGCTTTCTCTGTGTCTTTCTGTGTTTGTTTGTCTTTCCAATCAAATCTTGCGATCGAAATTTCTGGCACTTCCCAGTTAGCTAGCCCGCTGAAATTTTCAGGGAAGCTTTCTTTTGGATGACCATAGAATATGCAATTGTTATTATTACTAAATTGATCAATGGAAACATTTTATTGAGCATTTTAGACCGCTATATAATCTATATATATAATTCTCCTCTGCAAGCCATTAGAAAAAAAACCAGCGACGCGTAGCTCGCGCGCAGTGAAGCGAACGATTCCACGACGCGACAGGCTTAGGGGCAGATAATTTAGTTTGAACCGACTTAAAACTTACAGGAGGTAGGCCAGTTTGGGGGAGACGATATGGTCGAGTGGTTGGGCACACGATTGCTATCCCACTCAACACGGGTTCAAATCTATGTGTTCTAGTCAGTAACGTATTCACACAACGTGTTTTTTACGAGTTGTCTTTTTACGAGTTGTCTTTTTACGAGTTGTCTTCGTTTACCCAAAAAAAGTGAAAAGATAAAATCGATAGCAAGATTTTAATGCAAACAAACAGACAAAGACTAAAAAGTAGAAAATAATAATCATTAAAAAAGTTTTAAAAAACCCACGTTTTCTGATTGAACTAAAAAGTAGAAAATAAACGCTATACATCACAATAATGCAAGCGATCACTCTACTATAAGCGATCAAAAACGTGGGGCGCCGTGATTTTCTTACAGTTTCTAATACTGTTGACTCTCTACAAGCTCCCTAATAAAAGTCAATAGTATTATCTAATCAATAGTAATATAACTTTTACTTCGGCGCCCCACGTTTTTCATCGCTTATAGTAGAGTGATCGCTTGCATTATTGTGATGTATAGCGTTTATTTTCTACTTTTTAGTTCAATCAGAAAACGTGGGTTTTTTAAAACTTTTTTAATGATTATTATTATAACATATAATTTCATTCATCGTATAGATTTCTTTCATATGACGTCACGTCCGTTCGTGAATGTAAACATCTGCCATCTCGGTGTACAGATCTACATTCAAAATCGTGATCTGTGCGGTGAAAGGTTGTGATACTCGAAGTGGCAGATCTAAAGGGATTCCTTTATTTCGACTGCCAAGGGTCATATTAAACCAAGATGATAGAGATCGACAGTTAACAGAACGTAGACGCCGTCAATTTTTAGCCAATATTTATCGCAGCGGTGTGAGTGAAGCAGCGGCGAATAATATGCGATTAAGTTCTGGACACTTTGTTTCAAGTAAGGACAGTAAAATAGTAAACTTCATTTTAATCATAAAAGATAACTATTAATAAAACAAATATGCTCGACCAGAGCCGGCGTTAGGGGTACGCGGGGCCTATGGCCAACCATCTGCGCGGGGCCTTATATTTTTTCATTGGTGTATAATTAAATAAAACATGTACAGTGAGGCGTTTTTTTTCTTCTCAACGCGAATTAATATTTATAACGATATATATGGTATTTTTAAGCTGTTTATCAATGTCGTATTAACATTAAGACACTGATTAACAACTAATTTGTTTACTTAGAAGTGCTTTTGAAACGTTGCTTGTTTCTGTTAAGGCTTTTTGTTTGAAAAGTAAAAAATAAAACAGATATAAGTTTGAGACACGCATTAAAGAGACGATGAACGTCAGCTTCAAACCTGATTTTTTTACATTAATGTTTATTTATGAAAATCTTACCAGTACGTTCACAAACGAAGATCTACTTTTCTTGCCTTAGATATCCAAATGAAATAACTCTCAAATGTAATCACGGACGCTCAGTAAGGTGGAACACTGGGGGGGGGGGGTGACAGTTGGTGGGGTGAGGTGAAGCCCGTGAAGGATAACTTTACATTTAAATCTATGGGATGCCAAACCCTAAAAAAATCAGTTCGGGTACTACGTTACTGGATCTCTGACCGCAGCCATTCAAGAGAAGGTGCGTGTGTATAGAGCGTCCGCGTATTACATTACAGGTTAAGACCGCGTTCTCACAAGAGAGGGTCCGTATCTATAATTAGAAAGTGAACCATGTGACAGCCAGCTTCATGTTATTTATGAGTTTCGCGATGGCATGCTCGGACTGCCGGTAATTTAGACGTTTTAGAAATCAGGAGAACTTTACCATAAAACAGTCTCGGCCCGATGTATCAAACAGTATAGACTTTATAATTTGTTTAGTGTGCCTACACTATTTTAAAACAAGAATCACTATGGCCTTAACTATTATACTGAATATCCCTAAACAGAGGCGTAGCGAGGGGGGTGCGGATCGCACCGGGTGACACCATTAAGGGGGGTGACACCAAGGCAAAAAAATAGCAAAATATATAGAGAAAAACTTGACAGGGGTGCAAATCGAAAGTTTGAGGTGGGGGGGGGGGGGGGTGCAAATCACGAGGGGAGGTGGAAATCGAAAGTTTGAGGAGGGGGGGTGCAAATTGAAAATTTGAAAGTTTTTTCCCGGGAAGGGTCGCTACGCCTCTGAGGGGGGGGGGGGGGTGTCACCATTAAGTGCCGCACCGGGTGACACCCGACCTCGCTACGCCACTGTCCCTACAATTAATTAAAATAAACATGTGCTTAATCACTTTACGAATACCGTTAAAGTTTACCAAAATGAAAATGGACATAATAACTGTATAAATGCCCTTCAAAAATATAAAAATAAATACAAGTATAATGTATTTAAAGATGACCTGACAATATATAAAATAAATATGAACATAATTACTGTATGGATGCCTATCAAACGTATTGTGGTGAATATGCATAATTACACAAAAGATGCTCATACAGTGTATAAATTATGATTTTTAGGGATAAATACTCTGGATTTCCGGGGCATGTCCCCATCCGCTCACCCCCCCCCCCCCCCCCTCCTCCTCTGCAAGACATCATCAGGTCACTGACTGTTTACTACAGGCACCCCCGCCTGCTCACTAAAAAAACGTCTTCAACGGTCCGCAAACAATAGGGTATCTTTTTACGTTTTTCCCGATTTTATCTCCCATGTCAGGTCGGGGGCTAATTCGCGACCGCCATCTCCAGTCACCTCAGGACAATAGCGAGTCGACCGTGCCAGCGATGTGTGACACTAATGTCTTTCTTTAGAATAACGGTCTGCCCCAGTCCATGTAGAGGATAACTCACTAACATCAGCCGTGGCCTCAGTTTTAACATCCAACAACTTCGGCCATTTAGTTTGTTTTTTTTTAATTTAATTCAGCAAAGATTATTTAAGTTTACAAACTAATTCAGGCAACAATGGCCTTGCTGAAGCGCGGGGTCCCTTCAAGCGCGGGGCCTGTGGCGGCCGCCCCGTTTGCCACCCCCTAACGCCGGCTCTGTGCTCGACCTTCACAAATACTAATAGTAAAAGACAAAGTCAAAAGTAATAATAAGAATAATCAGATTTAATTGTAATAATAGAATAGTGATTTAATATTGAGATCTAGAATCTAGCTCTAAACGTGGCGTAAACAAAATTCGGAACACAGATCTAGATTCTGGATTTAGGGTGACTGGCTCCGCTGGGTAGACATAGAATCTAGAATCTACTACTTAAATTAAATTTTAAAAAGTTTATACAAGCATGTAGTTGATATTATTGTAGTATAAGGCTTTAATAAATTACTAACCCTTCCTACTTTGCGTCTTTTTTACAGCCATATGTATCTGATACTGGACTGAATTTAATTAAATTCAAATGCATATCTAGTAATTAGTTTACTAAATTTATGTAGCCTAGTAGTAGAATCTAGATCATACCAGCCAACAACAAATAACCACATTATTATTATTTGGTTAATGATTAGGCTAATTTAAAAAAATCCACTGTTTATAAAAGAAACACATAAAGCTAGAAACATTATAAGTGAGATTATTTAGAATAATAACAATGGACCCAGTCTACAATTGATACAATTGCAGGTCTACATAGGGCCTACAGTCTAGTAGTTTACAGTAGGTACATTGTGTGTAGCTAGTATACTAGTGTGTAGCTGTCCAGAGTTAAGATTCTTAATGCCTTAATGCTTTCCCCTGATAAGCCATGTGTGCTAAAAATGACATAACATGACATCGAGGTGAGAAATGTTGAGGGGCGAGCAGTGGGACTTTCCCCTTTGTTCTCCCTGCTGGGCCCTGAGGGTATCACGGAGGTGAGAAATTTTCAGGGGAGGGCAGTGGTACTGACTCCTCTTTGGTTTTATTGTGGGCTAGAAAAAGGTGGGGGCTGGCCATCATAAGGGTTGAACATCAGTATTAATGTGTCTGATCACTTCCCTGCTGGATTATAGGTAAACGGAAAAAAAGTCACAGGAAAAAAAAAAACACAGAAAAAAAGTCACAGTTTTTGCTAGGAAAAAAAGTCACAGAAAAAAAGTCACAGTGGAAAAATTTTTTTGGAAAAAAAGTCACAGAAATAAAGTCACAGAAAAAAAGTCACAAAAATATTTTTAGAAATATTTTTTTTATTTGTTTAGAATTGTAAAATTTTGTATGTTTCTTGTTGTGGGTTGTATTTTTTATAGCATAAATTATTTATAGACGTTAAAAGCATTATGGTTTATAACAACTGTAAGTAAAAATACTCTAATATAATTTATACAACAATCTCAACTTTTGTTACTTATTTAGTTAAAAACGCGGTAGAAAATTTAACTATAAAAAAATTTAGGCACATTTTGCCGTAGTCTATTCTCTGGTCGGCCTCTCCTCAGTAGGTTTTGTCCGAACATATTTTGTGTTGTTGACGTCATGCGTCAATGACAGCATTTGAACCTTGTCGGCTTTCTTTTTTTATCCTAAGTGTTGTTATGTAATGAGCGTGATAAATGTGGGCAGTAAAGGTGGTTGAACTAAACATCTAAACATAACTATTGTGGCCATGAGTTGAGGGCAGCAAGTCAGACGAACTTACCATTTCACGGTAATTTAATGTTGGTATTAAAAAAAAACAGGATTACAACCGTGGACTTTGGAGCATTCTATTAAACGCTACTAATCTTAAGTTTAAAATAATTACAATCTACATACTTCATACTAAATATTTTTAGATGAATTATAAAAATTCCTATGCGTATACAGCCTACACACATTACATTACATTTAATTAATCCTAAGTTAATTTGCACTCTCTGAATATTTAATACATAAAAGTATTAACAAGTATCATGCAAATATATATTTGTGACTTTTTTTCCTGTGACTTTTTTTCCTGTGACTTTTTTACTTTCTCGTATATACGAAGTATAGAGAAAGTCTTGTAATCGTGCAAAAAAAAAAAATCGAGATTTTTACAAATCTCGACGTTTTACATCTCACTGATACGGAAAAACATAATTTTGCAATCTTGTCCGTATGTCTGTGTGTCCGTGTGTGTGTGTGTGTGTGTGTGTGTGTGTGTGTGTCCGTGTGTAAACACGATAACTTGAGTACCGTTACAGCTAGGTTGATGAAATTTCATATACAAGTATTATATCAAAATCGTAGATCCGTATCAACTTTTGAGCGATTTCGGATAACCGGAAGTGGTACTTTTTCTACTTTGAATTTTTCAAAAGCCTATAACTTGAGTACTATTTCAGATAGATAAATGAAATTTCACATGTAAGTAAAAGATCTAATTCTCTACCTTCTGTTAAATTTTGAGTAATTTCCGTTGACCGGAAGTAGTACTTTACGCTACTTCCGATTTCTCAAAAAACTAATGTAAATTTATAAAGTACTAATACTATTGCGCACTATTATACACACCTTTATTAGGCGTTCGCTTGGTTCGCAATTGTTTTTTACTGAGATTCTATTCTATTTTTAAAAGTTTCAGTATTTAAAATGGATTAAAGATCATAACTATATCCCCAGTTACCATCCCCTGTTGTTTTATATAAGAATATTCGAGAAAGTTTAGGGGAGATCACTACCGGTTTATTCCTGTGACTTTTTACTTTCTCGTATATACGAAGTATAGAGAAAGTATTGTAATCGTGCAAAAAAAAAAATCGAGATTTTTACAAATCTCGACGTTTTACACCTCACTGATACGGAAAAACATAATTTTGCAATCTTGTCCGTATGTCTGTGTGTCTGTGTGTGTCTGTCTGTCTGTCTGTCCGTGTGTAAACATGATTACTTGAGAACCGTTACAGCTAGGTTGATGAAATTTCATATATAAGTATTTTATCAAAATCGTAGATCCGTATCAACTTTTGAGCGATTTCCGATAACCGGAAGTGGTACTTTTCC